CATATATATATATATATATATATATATATATATATGTGTGTGTGTGTGTGTGTGTGTGTGTGTGTGTGTGTGTGTGTGTGTCGCGCAAACTGGATGTGTCAACGGGTACTTAAGTACTTCGCACGTCGAAGATCGGAGACACTTTGCTGGGATGAGGATGTAAACGCTAAGTAATAAGAATCTCGCGGAAGCTGCTCTCTTTGACAAATGATGCTTCGACGCGAGCAATATTCGTTCGATAAAATAAATACATGAAAAAACGAATGCCTTTACCCTTTTTGATCTTGTAAATTTATGGCGACTAATTTTTTTTTATAATACTATTCGTTCCTAAATCTTCTTTTCAGCGTGTAATATTTGAGAAACATAATATATTTGCAATTTTTTTTTGTGTATTAAGTTCAATGTTATTTTATTATACAGCTGCTATAGGAAAAAGGATAATAAATTTAATGCTTAATGTGTGTTCCTTCATTTAGTCGTCAGTCTTTCAATATTATCTTACTATTAAATTATACGAAGTAGAATTGATAAAAAGAAGATTTTTTACATTGTGATTTTACACTTCGCAATATTCGCAATATTTCAGAGAATACGGATATTATTTGCGGATCGGAAGTAACATAATTGCGCACATATGAGACTACGCAACGCCGTCGTGGAAGAGGTCAATTTTGCGTCCGGCATTATGGTGGTCGCCATAACCCTACGTCGTCCGTATATTTGCGGGCGTAGCATTATAACGTGTGCACGTTGCATACTTACGTGGCCAGCGGAAGGTGCGGCTTTAGTCCATGATTCTTCTTGGGTTCGTCCTATGCCCATTATGCGAGCGAACTCTTCGTGATGTTTCTCTGGACCTTAAGATAAAGTCTCGCTCACAGCGACGTCCGTTTTTCAACCGCAAAATTTTACTTTGTTTTTTTTTTTTCTTCAAATAATCTCTAAGGACAGATTTACTAAAATTTCATTATTATTTTAGGACATATTTTTAAAATAACTATTGTCGAAAACAAGCTATTGTCGAAAACATAATAGAACTATTGTCGAAAACATAATATAACTTGTTTATTAATTAAAATTTGTTAATTTACTAAAATTTATTTATATATTGTTAACATGTAAATTAATTATCGTTAATAATAATGTATTATTTAAATGAATTTAAATAACATTTTTAAAATTTAATTTTTTAATGAAAAAAATATCACATTAGACATTAGTTTCATTTATATAGCAAATAATATAGAATATTATTAAATAAAAGAGCTTTAAGCTTTTTTAAATTAATATAAGAGTGTAGAGATAGAACGTAATTTTCTAACTAAAGATACGAAGTAGCAACGATATACGGGATTCAATATAACTTGCGATAATATCCATGTTAATCTTTAGAGTCGGAACATCAATGGCTTTTCTTCGCAAAAACAAGTGTGCAAATGTGATAACGTGTAATAAAAGTTGTAAATCCAGGATTGTAAGCCAGTATTGCCGTTCATAAACTGTAAAATATGAAATCATTGTAGATTCTACAAGTTAACCGTCGTCAAATATTTTTTAGATAAAAATATATCATAGATACAAATTCTTCTAAAAATTCTTAATTTGTAACAAAAATCTCTCTTTCTCTCTCTCCTTCTATTCCTCTTTCTCTTTTTTTCTCTATAAAATAATGACTATTATTTTGTTTCGCAATGCTACAATGCTATCACATTTATTTTGCTGTTGAACAGACTAAGAGAAAAATAGTTTCAATAGATCATTAAGAAAAAGTCTGCAACACTTTTGCATATCCTTTGTTCATTAATTTTCACTTTGTCCATAAATATATTGGATAAATTCGAGCATATCTGTTTATCTTGTCTATCTTGAAACGATTCTAAAATTGCGCCGATATTCTCGGCTCGTGCTTCTGACGTTATTCTGGAACGCAAAATTCATACGCTTAAGAATTGTGAAACGACCATTAAGAGATACGAAACATTGTCATGTGTGCACACACACACACCTTTCCATTAGCCACATATCTACAAGTCGCGACTTCACGCCGACTAAGAACGTGAGTAAAGCTTTGATGTGACCGCCATTACTGAGGGCACACTTATCATCATACATACAGTCGACAACTTAGAATCCAGAAATTTCTTGTCAATGCTTTATACCTTATAAACACTACGAACACTCGGTGCACCTTCTTTCTAATTTATAAAAAAAATGTTCGCATAACAATTTTAATATTGTTTGATACATAGATAGATTTTATTGATTATATGTATGTGTTCTATTATTCAATTTACTTTTAGGTCCTGCGCACAATGGAGAAAATATTAGAAAACAGAAATAAATGTTAAGGTTCTATGCACAATAGGCAATAGAAACAGAGAATGACACAGATTGATTATCAATTAATAGGCCGATATATATCAATTGATACACGGTTTTCATATTCAAATTTATCGCCTGTGTTATTCTCTGTTCCTGTTGCCTATTGTGCACAGATCTTAACATTTAATATTTAATTTCTGTTTCTAATATTTCCTTCATTGCAGGGCCTTATTCACGATATTATACGAAATTATTATGAAAAATCGATTGGTACCGGAGAATTTATTTGCGTACTTTTCTTTCGTATATCGTCCCGCAAGATTATATCAGAAACAATTACATTTCTCGAATAAAGATAATCAATGTACAGAATCAGTTTGAACGGAAGAGAAGAAAAAAAAATGAAAGTATATTATATTAATGAAATTTGCATTTGTTTCTACATTCAAATTGCAGAATTGGTATTGGTTAATCGCATGAAGTTTATTGCAAAATAACCGAGAAAATGAATCATATTTTTTTACTATCGTTTTTCGTAGAAGCAGTAGCGACATCATTTTGTAAAGACCGACACAGAAATGGATCAAAAAAACTTTATTGCCGTCCCTTTTCGTCTACGTTTGCACACGTTCGGACCTTAAATGGTGTTTTTCCATTTTCCAGGGGTCCATTCACCAATTTTCCTTTCGGATTACGTTATCTCGGGGATCGACGGGGTCGGTGGTTTTTCTCACGTCGCTGCTTGAGTGCCCTACCTGCTAATTCGACAAGACCTGTCTCGATTGGGTCTCGTTATCTCTCACGCCTGCACGCACGGAGCGATGTCGTTTACAATATTTTTTGCCCGTGTCCTAATCTATAGGTCGGGGTTTCCTCTAGCCCGAAACGTGAGGTGACGCTTCCCCCTCCTCCCCCCCCCGTCCCCTCCCCTCATCGGGGACGTGACAATATTTGTCGCGACCGACGACGACCGAGGGCGAGAGCAATAGGCGCGGACGTGGCGTTATTTGCCCTATTCTCTGTGAGATGCCGTCTGTTTGCCGAGGCTTTGTTTCCGTCAGTTTCCGTTTCTCGCGCCAACACGGCGGCTCCTCTGATCCATCCGGTCATCGGAATACGCACGACCGCTTTTGGATATCGAGATAACGCGACCTCTCGACACCTCTTCAACCTCTTGATTATGGCCAGACGTCTGATTTGTGTGCGTCTCCGTTTGTTCGTTGGTTATCGCTCCTGCTCACCATATCGTCTTCTGGAACGAAAAAAAAAGAAATGGAGGCACGGCAGACTCTCGGAATCTAGAAGGAAGGAAAAGCTTATGCTAATACGTGTGAAATTAATTGCGCAATTTATGAGACTGAAAAATATGACGGTTACATGTTTGTGACCGTGGCTCGAATGTAATAACATTCTTGTTATTAATAAAATATGATTGAATTAGCTTTTAATGTTAATGTATGAAAAATTGTAACATTATATATTTTGTATATTTAGCATAATATTATTGCAAGTAATTTGGAAATATTTTGTAATATTTATAATATTTCATAATATTCATCATATATCATTTCAAAATATTTCATAATATTAATAATATATATACTACTAGTTAAATTTATATCGCGACAAAAATATAATTTTAAGGAATACCGATACTTTGAAAATGTGACGAGATTCGGTATTTTTCAAATTCATCTGCGAATTTATTACGAGTCACTATCGGATTAGACTAAACTTTTAATGCATAAAAAATCAAATAATTGTAGAATTATTTTAATATGATTCCTTCTGTTTACCAATTTAAATTATTTTCTTATTAAATATATGAGTGTTATTCATTGTTTATCTCAATTCTCCACTTTCTCAAATTTCTTGTTAAGTTGAAATTTATATTGAATCTAATGTTATTTCATATAATTATTATACAGTTTTTCAATGTATAATAATATTGCTCTACAATACAGAATTAGCGATAGTTATCTGTCTATATTAAATTATTATTGTGTATATACAACTTGAGCGATTTTAAAGACTACATCATAAAGTATAAAGTATTTGTATTTCTAATTTAAAAAAGAAACTAAAATATGTTACATACTTTTACTTTACATACAATACAGTTTAATCAAGTCCGGTATTTGTCCGATGTTAAAAACATGCGGGAAAATCATACGGGAATGAACATAATTAGCCACATTGAGTTCATTTCTATCGACGTTTCAATGGCATTTCGCTGCATCATTATTTTATGCTAAAGCAGTTATATACTTTTGACATCGGCAATTCCTATAGCAATCAATATGTACATATAACATGCCGTCGTGCATGTCAAAGGTACTTAAACATCACTTAATCCGTCATTTAAATCGCCATTAAGGCATCTCGCCGAAGACTACCCTCTATTTATCCATTATCCAAGTTCATATTGTCACTCGGATGCCTCTCCATCTTTGGCGATGCATTTTCGCAAGCTGAATCGGTGGCCACACGGCTCGGCGACGGTGAAGTCGCCGGCATGCCAAGCTCGTCGGCGTCGCCTTTGTTGCCAATCGCTCCCTCGTTTTCTTCCTCTTCATCGTCTTCCTCTTCTTCCTCCCTTCATCGTCGTCAATCCTCTTCGGCCGTTCCCGAGGAATTTTTCCACCACTCGATCATCCCGGACTGACTCGTGAGGGAGGCGATCATCCCGTCCGCATAGGATTGTCCAATGAAGCGATACCGCAAGATCTCGATGGGCGGCGCCCGGAATCCCGGCGATGGCTCTCCGGCCCGGCGACTTCGTGGTGGGGCCCGGTGGGGCCCAAGCGGGCCGCCTGGTGGGGGGATTGACATCGACTACTGTGCATTTCCCACGTGCCCTGGGAACCCCCGCGGCATCGTGTCAGCCCCCGCTCTTCGCTTTTGCACGCTCCTACCACCTCCACCTTCTCCCACACTATCTGCTTCTCATCGTCAGCGGCGAACGTCTCTCCTTCTGTCTGCCTGTCTGTCTGTCTCGCTTTCCTTTTCCCTATCTCTCTTTCTCTTTCTCTTCTCTCGTTTTCTCTCTTTCCGCTTCTACGCTCATCTCTGCCTTTCTCCCTGTCTTTTTTCACCTACCGCGGTAGAAATCAAGGAATCGGGCGCATTCCGCGGGACCGCGGGATTTCCTCTCGAGAATCAGTTTGTCGCTTCGTCTTTGCGCGTGGGCGTCACGGATCGCGCCACGGCGCACTCGTATTGTTTATCCACGAAAATATCAACCGCTCTGCTCCGGAGGACGATCGTCTTACGATACTACTCCCACGCACATAGCCGAGCGAGTAAGATAGGTGGAACGAAACGCGCGCCGAAGAAAGTCAGTGGCTCTAGCTTTCGGATACGAGCGCTACCTCCGTAGCTTTTACAGCCGGGGTTGTGGCTACTGCCCCCGCGGGGGGTATCCTTTTGGGAAACGGCAAAGGCGGAAGGAAGCGGCCCGAGTATGCCGGAGCGGTATTCGAATACTTTAATAGAAGGTAGGGGAGACACCTCGTGATTATACCAGAAGGGATCTCGGCGTGGGTGAAGAGGGATGCTCTCGTCTCACGGTTACGAGGGCGGGCCCAGACGCGGTACTGGTGGAAGGGATCAGGACCCGTAGAACGTGGAAGAGAGGGAGCAACTCCGCGCGGGGACAGTTGAAGAGAGGAGAGGGGCGGACGGGCGCACCAAGCGGGAGCTCAGGAAGCCGCGTCGACGAAGGATTTGTGAATAACCGCGCTGCTATTCGGCGACCGGGTGAGACAAGGACGCAAGTAGACTCGGGACAAGGCGCGCTACCACTTCTTCCCTTCTTCGTCGGGCCTCCTCTTCATCATCGTCCTCACCTCTTTCTCTACACCCAACACCCGCCGTCACCCTCTTCCCTCATTTTCCTTCTTCTGCTCCCGTTCCTCCTCCGCATCCTTCTCACCACCACCACCTCCTCCTCCACCACCACCTCCTCCCTCGCCTCCCTGGCCGCCTCTTTTCTACCTCTACCACCGCAACGAGATCGAGGAAGGAACATCCTGGACGTGTACGTTCCCCGTGGAATTGAGGGAGGCTACCTTCACACGATAACTGGTGGGTATCGGTGAGTCGGTTCGGTAGGGAGGTGTCTCCCGGTCCTCCAACCAGAAGAAGCCAAACGGACGACGACGACGACGAGGAGACCTTTGGCGGTTACACACGGCGTCCTACCGTCTTCTGGTGTGCCTACCTATTCGGGCTACCAGCGAACCGAGCGACTAAACGAAGCTTCAGTCGACGCCGCGCACCCAAACGGTCCAGACCTGTCAGCCCGGAAGACACACGCGCAGCATCTCAACACTTTCACGAGCCATCGACCTACTAAGTAACACGGAGATCCCGCCAGCGTGACACTGTACGCGCATCGTACCTTCGCTTTACAACTAAATCGAGACGCGCTTCGCGAGTTTCGTTCTGCCTCCGTTCGTCGAGAGTTTACATTTCTATCCAAGTTTCAACTCAAGATTTTTTTCCTGAGAAAGAATACGTCGTGGACGTTGCTCGAGGACAACTCTTATTCGACAACTTTTTCCTCTATTCGGATCGGTAAGTCACGGTTAATTGACATTTCTTTATCGTATCTTCTAGCATTACTACTCACTAGTCACTAATATATTACGGGCTACAAGTGCTAATCGCTCACGAAATGAATTACTATTCGCTTTTTATTCAATTCTTCAAAATTAACTTCTCGTAAATAGATCTGAGATATATATGTAAGAACATCGTCGAGATATTGAACTCACAACGCGCTACGGATCGACCTTTCATACGCAACCACGCGTCAAAACGTATTATATAATAATTCATATATATGAGATGGAAGAAATAGTTTAACATACGTTCTTGAACATGTATCTAAACATTTCATACAATAACCTTATATATTCAATAATATTCGAAATGACATTCATTAGGAGACTTAAATTAGTCGTATCGTTATAAATCAAATATGAAAACATAAATAAATCATCAAATAAATCAATGATATGAAATGTATCTTTTATTTCTACATTTCTTGATATATCTCGATTTATAGAAGAACTTTTTTATAGGATTTTTTTACAGCACTTATATTTTATGATAATTTTATTCATAATAATGATAATCCTTCAATTTTACTTATTTATTTGCTTTTGTCACAGTATATATCTTGTTTTAAAATTTTTAGAATTTTCGCGAAGTTATAAAATTGAATAAAAAAATCAAATCTTTCAGTTTTACCATTGAACCACTTCAAAGATTTCTTCATTTCACGATTATTTACCATTTCTTTATTTACCATTACCATTTCTTATCAAGATCTATATAAAAAGGATAAAAACAAGATATTCCTACTATATTTGCGATTTCTTACATTTTCTATCGTATGTTTTCATATATCAAACAAAGCGAGAATAGGTGCGATTTATATTCGTTCATGTATAAACGACGAGCGAGTAGCTGTCTTCGCAACGACTTCCAGAATCGGTAGCCGTAGGATGATGTACGATAATCGCTGCGTTTTAACTGATTAAATGTCTCGTGAGTCATCCGCGAAAAATTTTATAATGATCTCTTTCAATCCTTCTAGCTCAAATCTTTCCGACAACTTTCCGATTCTTAAACTGCGATTTTATTTTATAATGATACATATATAAAGTATAATTATATTTTATATCATGAAAAACTTTTCAAGATTCAATTATAGTGAAAGGCACTAAATTCTATGATTTAAATAATTAATATAATACTTATATAACAGGAAAAAAAGGACAACGAATAGAATTGAATTAAAAGATAAATAATATCATTTAAATTAAAAATTTGCTCGCTGATGATAGATTTAATCTATCACATTACGATATGTGATCAAAAACTCTAATTATTAATCTTATATCCAAACGTCACATTTGGACCCATCATCAAAGTTTAGCTTCAATCGTTCTGATTCTCGGACATGTCGCACAAAGGACACCGCGACCCAACACGTACGCGTACCTTTTCGAGTCGCGGCGACGAGTCCAGCCGAGTCCAACGTATTAATTTATTCGCCGGGGGTGGCCGGGGTCGAAGCGATTTACGTACGCGGATCCGGAACGGATCCATCGCGGAGCTACCATTTTTCTCCGACGCGCCGCGTGGCGCGTGGCGCGAGTCTCTCCGCGCGATAGGTAATATCTCTCGTAAGAAACGCCCTTTGCGTGATCGCCCGCGTTCCCCGCAGCCGTCAGTATCGCGGTTCGACGGTCTAGACGGCGGAGGGAGGGTGTGGTCCCACTTGGTGGACTTCTCCGGCTGTTCGGTAGCGACTGGCCGAAAACCGGTAGTCGGCGGTAGGGCGGTGCACAGTAGCGACTCTTCTTTGGTTGGCTACCGGCCTTCTCGCTGTGGCGAGCGAACGAACGAGGGCTACTGCTCCTTCCTTTATTCCTCCATACACGCGAGAACGAGTGCACGCACATCGAGCCGGACTCGCTTGGTTGGCCGTTCTCCGTTCCTCTTCGATTGGCTGCCCGGCTCCTTATACCACGCACTCCGCCCTTCGTATCGCGACCGACCGCGAAAGAATAATAGATAGCCTCGCGACCACCCTTTTCTCACGATTTTTTTCTCAGGCTCGATGACTGAGCTTGGATAAAATTGAAGATGTGACCGTCGGTCGTTGAACGGTTTTGTCCAAGTGTCCTCTCTCCTCCCCTGTGTCCTGTGTTCTAGCTAGGTAATTTTCGATAACAGGATTTTTCTATGTATTTTTTCTTAGAGACAAAGAAATCAGCAACGGCAAAGTTTAACTTATTGGATAATGTTCGATGACTTTATAATGATTTTTAAAAAATTTCACATGTACAGACACAAAATCATATCAGAGATACGGTGACTTTTCATCTGCGCGAATGCTTGGCATAAATTATTAATTGATACTCGGACAGCCAATGAATAGTACAATTGCCTTTAGATTGCTGTAAAAGTTACGTTACACGATGTTTATTTTCATTGCTTATTTATTCGTGCGATTCCGTCCACGTCACGAGGTAGCCTCACTTGATCATTCCGCGCGACGCGTTTTCCTTCCCCCCCCCCGCGGATGGACAACGAAAAATTCACCTTCGCGTAGCTCCGTACATACCAAAACGCTCCTCCGCCTATTCGCAAATCTCCGTCTAGTATGGCGGAGATCCACAAACGCGAGCGTCTACATATATATCGCATTATCATACATTATCATACATTATCATAAAACGTAAAACGGAAGCGTTCGATCACGCGAACTCGGTAAGCAAACATGGTAGCTGGCACGATTCTGTTCACTTTCCTGCGAGCATTCGTTAGAGCTCGCGCTCAATGCCGTTTCACATTTGCCACAAATGGTCTCACGACTCGTTGCACGCAATTTTAATAATAATTTATTTGCAACCTTCGCAAACGTCTCCCCTCACCCTTTTCCCCTCCCCCCTTCCCTCCCCCCCAATATTAATCGGGAATTATCGGCGCGGCTTACGACGTCTGTCATTCCCGGCTGCTGCTTCGATCGCGCCGCTCGAATTCAACGGACTTGGCGGTTATCAGAGGACACGATCATTTATCATCAGGCATCTCAAGATTATTTGCGCGGTTCTCATCGGCATCGTGTGTGTAATATAAAACCTGAACGTTTACACGGCTAATGTCGTTTTCCTCGGCACCCAACTCATTAACGCACAACTCATTAACTTCGCTTCACGCAAAGTGAGAACCTGTTCCCGCCACCATGTACCCGTCTCGGTACAGGCGACCTCGTAACTCTTCGACAAGATTGCCACATAATAGCCGAGATGTTACCATTCAGTTCCATGGATGTAAATCCAATCGGCATGTGATGCACAAGGTACACGTGCGACACTCGAGAGTAGAATGACCAAAACTAATACGATCCTCGAGGGAAACAAGGGTCGTATTAGAGAGTCTTGTTTTTTTGTTTTTTTTTTTTTTTTTTTTTTAGTATTCCTCAAGAAACGTTATTTCATTTCGATTTCCATTTTAATACATTGTGTACGCGTTTATGATTTATAGCTTCGGAGATTACAAAAAGGGTGTTAAGAATTCCCCGTCTGTCTCCTTATTGACAAACCTTCATGACGAGGGACATCCAATACAAAAAAACGCATGAGTTCGGAAATACCCAACACACTTGTCCTTCTTCATCTCTTCCGAAAACGGAATGACGAAGGTGTCGAGGACAGCCGTGTTTTGTTTCTGCGTGTAAAGAGCCCGTACCGGCCGACCGTCTGACGATTATTTACATCAAGGTGAATCAGCGTCGGACGTCAACGACGGGCAGGAGCGCGCGGACAGAGGCGTAATGTTTCCCGGGGCGGGGAGGGGGGAGAGGGAGGGTGAGGAAGGAGCAAAGCCGCGTCTTTTTTTATGGAAAGACGCGGAGTCGCACGTAATGCGCAGTTCCGATTAGGCTCCACCGCCTGTTAGCCACGCTAACCAACCGGGCTACGCCCAGGCACCGCTTATTACTCATTCGGACACGCCACTTTATTCGAGCGTGCGCCGTGCGCTTAATGCGAACCGGTAGCGACTGGCCGGAACGCTCCTGTACAATGGCCGCGCCGCGCGATTCAATACCGCGGGCTATTTTTTTTTTTTTTTTTTAGCATGCCGATTCCAATTCGAGAACCGTGCCATTACGGAGCGGCCGCGTATACGATTCCCCGATCCCCCATTCCACGTCCGGCTGGGTACCGTATGGAGAAGCTCTAAAAATAATACACTTGCACGAGGTATAATTTGGTTTATCGTGCAATTAACGTTTTTTCCCTTTTTGCTTTATCGCGAAGGGCACGTGTCTTTCCTCTCTCTCTCTCTCTCTCTCTCTCTCTCTCTCTCTCTCTCTCTCTCTTTCTCTCTCTCGTAGTACGCTCGTGGAAACGGAAACAGCAAGCGATAAAGCAACATCAATTTTTGCCGCGCGGAAAAACTGACTTCAGTGACTCAATTCAGATTACATCAGATTCTTTCCCAATTGTTTCCAAAATTTAAAAGATATTTCAAGGTGATTGGTTAAAAATTATAAATGATTTAATGTAAAATATTAGAGAGCTATTCGAAAGTGGGGCTTTATAGAATTTTTGAATGTTGTGATGTCGAAGAATTATTACGCGATATAAAAGAATACATTTTATGTAAGAATGAGGAAAACTAATTATATAAATGGTACATTGGTACAGATTGTAGTGTCTGACTCAACAGTATTTTACTTAAATTTCATTTGAAGAACTTGAAATTAGCTCATATCACTCACATAATAATTGATTGGTTTTGTTCTTTTCACGTTTCTTCTAAAATAGGCTCGGCAGCTCGGGAGATATTCTTGTGATTTACGTGGCGTTAGATGGCGAGCGTAAAGATTATGGATCGTATTTATGCGGCATGCATTTAGCACTAATGGTAGGTGCTCCTTCCCCTTCGATTACCATCACGTATATGTGTCAGTCTTACACGTGAATGAAACTTAAAACTGAATAGTCACATTTAAAATGAAATATGCCCGGGGGACGTGTCCGAGCTAATAATTTAAAACTTGCAAACTGAATACAAGCATCCAATTAGGTAACTAGATATTAATTTTTTTGGAAGCATTTATTCTTTTTTAGTATTCACGTTTTTTTTTGCAAATAATATTGCGAACTTTGACACATACTAAAGATATTTGATACAGTCACAATACTTAAAATTGTTTTGTTATTATATTTCTAATATATTTCTTATAAAAAAGTTTAGTTATATAACACACAATTAAATATGTATTTTTAATTTTACTTGTTAATTTTACTTGAAAGTGAGAATTATAATTATGAACTTTCGCACATATAACTTTGTATAATTTGTAGAATTATGACATAAAGTAACAAACATTTGTTTGTTTAATATTTGTATAAAAATTCTATAAACTTTCGATTTTATTTATTGAGGCATTGATTTTTAATTGCTTTTTATAGAGACAGAAATTGATACGGTAATATTAAAATATTAAATTAAAAATATAGATGTATTTGCAAGTAAAGTTACCGATCTGCGAGTAAAATTACAAAACAAAAGTTGTCTGTGGCATCTCTGCAGAGATTCCACGCATTCTTTATCTCACTTATAGAAACTTATCGTTTATTTACCGCACATCAAGAATTATCATATTTTGAATCAGCAAGTACCTCGCAACAGACTTTCTTCGCAGAATCAGTTATGGCCAGTTTGTTTCAGAGTTACCCTTTACACATATATATATATATATATATATATATATATATATGTGTGTGTGTGTGTGTGTGTGTATATATAGGAAAAGTACTTCCCTATGTCGATCTAAAAGCATATTCCCGATAAAATATCACGGGAATAATTCGATCCGAGAGAACGCTATTCCGCAAGGCACATTGGCATGCGCGCGTCCCTCCACCTACGCGTCTTCGTAAAGAATGCAAAATACTTCAGAAGTTGCTTCAACGTTACTAACCCGTTGCTCGTAGGCAACGGCGCTTTGCGTAAATATCTCGTCGGATCGGATACGGGCTTCCCTCGCGAATACTCCGCTCTCGCGAGACTCCGGGTGATTCCCTCGAGCGCGCGAGTCAGATCAGAGGAGAATCATCGATTTTGTGCTCTTTGCAGGCAACGATACGAGGAGTCTCTCGCGACGTGGTACAAGCAGTGATCTCACTCCCAGGAGTCAGCCGTGCCCGAGACTAGCTTTGCGCGGGAGGAGAAGAGCGAGTCGAAGAGCGACAGTCAGGAAAGACGGATAAAAAGAGCGAGAGAGAGAGAGAGAGAGAGAGAGAGAGAGAGAGAGAGAGAGAGAGAGAGAGAGAGAGAGAGAGAGAGAGAGAGAGACGAGAGACGAGAGAGACGAGAGAGAGAGAGAGAGAGAGAGAGAGTACGCGCGAGCAACGAAGAGCACTGAGAAAGGGGACAGAGGGAGACAGAAGAAGTGGTGGGAGTGACTCCAGGCGTTAGCGAGAGAGCGAGAGAGGCGGGTAGAGGGAAAGGAGAGACAGAGACTCGACCAAGAGAAGGAGCGGTGGGAATTTATAAGGATGTTCGCGATAATGCCGATGGAGACAGAGGGGCACGGCAGGGAGTTCGGCCGGCGGCAGAAGATGCGCGCCAAGTGCACGGTAGAGTTCGTCTGCAAGTACTGCCAGCGGCGCTTCACGAAGCCCTACAACCTCATGATCCACGAGCGTAGCCATAAGGACGACGTGACCTTCACCTGCGAGGTCTGCGGAAAGTCCTTCAAGCGGCAGGACAACCTCAAGCAACACAGGTACACCGCACACGTTTCACGTTTTTTATTTCTTCCCCCCCTTTTTTTTTACTTTGTTTTACCGACGGTTTTTTATTTTATTTTATTTATTTATTTATTTATTTATTTTTTTTTCTTTTTTTTTAATTTTGTGTTGTGTTTTTCCTTCGCGAGAACTTCTATTTTTGCGCGCTCGCATGGGACACGTACGCGATCTGATCCATGATCAATCGCCGCGATCTCCGAGTACTCTTTAGGGGATCCCATATATAAGGGACCCGTACGTCGCGCATACGAAGGAGAAAATACACGCGACACACACCTGACGTTGTCAGACATCGGCGATGTTTCTGCGGAATATCGCGGCAACCGATCGTGAATCAGATGTCAGTGCGTGACTCTCACTTGCAAAAACCTGCACTCGAAAAAAACGATAAAGAAGCTATCGGGAGACATTTTCGTGCTCGTACTTGCGCGTTCTCGCTGTTCACCGCGCGACGGGACGGGACGATGGAAAATGATCAGTTCCCAGTCAGCAATCAGCAGCTTCAAAGAAATTGAGCTAGCTTGAAATTAACTATTTTTAGATTACATCGTCCTAGCAATCGCTGCTGTAGATATTCTTCTAGTGCGATTATTTTGTATTGTTTTTTCTTTTTATTTTTATTATCGTGGAAAAAAGCGTATTTCTGTAGTCGTGTCGATAGTCATTTTTCAACATCGAATAGTGAAAGGTAACTTTAATCTCAAGTTTCAATTACATTCATTGGATTATTATTTATATTAATTATAAAGATTAAATTTATTTGTCGCACGCAAAATTTTAAATTAAAATTGTCCAATCGTCATAGAAATCGATCAGGAGATATATTGTGAAACTGTTTGGAATGATTCCTAAAAAGAAATTGAACAATTCCGATCGGAATCCATTCTGAACAATTTTACAATAGAGTCTCGGATGAATAATTTTTTTGCCAGGCAAAGACAAAACGATAAACAAAACAATTGTCTAAAATCAATATTTCATTTTCGCTTTGAATTGCTTTATTCCACGAGATAAATCTTTGATCATTCAGTAAATAGCTCGTTGCCGACGCGCTTGACGTGGCGCAGTCGTGAGATCCGAGACGCGAATCGTCGAAATTAATTTTACGTAATGAAATAAAGATGTGACATTCAAATGAGGAAAACTTAAATATCAATATCATATGAAAATGTCTCACGACGCTTCTTTAGTTGTAACTACTGATGAACGACGCTCGCGTAAAACGTTCCATGCCTAAGGGATTATTGTTTTAAAATAATATGAGTGGTATAAGGAAAAAATATACAAATATTGTCCACTTGATCGCACCCATATAAATTATATTATGTTTGTGATTAATTTATGAATCATAAGACGTTTCGTCTTTTTAAAAATATGTCAGTGTAACGAAAAAAGAAAAAAGGATATATTGAATTCATAACGAATCGCGAGAAAAGAATACGCTTGAAAAAGATTTACAGAAGTCATTTTTATGTAGAATACTACTTGAAAGAAATTAAAAGAAACATGGTGTACTATAATAGAAAAGGGCACAAATTGTAATTAAAAGCGCTTTCTATAATAAATATGAATTACTTTGAGTAATAAATTCATGCCTAGTTGGGGATGCCACAGCAAAATGAAACTTCACGAATGCTGAAGTATAAGTGCGATGTTGCGTTGATATTTTACGACTTTCTTACCATTTCCGTCAAAATGATACGTTCGGTAAGTCAACAGGAAAGTTAAGACGCGCTAACTATCCGTTTAAACGGTCACGGTGCTGGCCTCCAGAAGGTCAAAACTATCGGTTTGGCCGAAGGAGACCGCTACCGCATTTGACCTTTCGCATCGATAGCCTTGTGATGTTGCAACGTTTGTCGCCTTCACCCACCTCTCGGCGCGGATGGAGGCGCGAATCTCGGAGAGAGAAGAGATCCGCGAAGATCCGCGAACTTTGCACTTCTTCTCTCGCCTACGGGCGCGAGTCGACGAGCCGACGAGCCGACGAGCCGACGAGTCGGCGCGTCGGTTCGCGGCGAGCCGAACACTCGCGGTGCCGCGCGCCCGTAGAATCGGCCTGACCCATAAATCAGTCTGAAATAATGCTGCCCCCGCATGGAACGTGTGTGCGCGAGCGCGCGTTTGAACGAGCGAGCGATAAAATAAATCTTCAATACTGGTGGATACTAATGGATACCTTGTATGTAACGGCGGTGGTCTTGTTTTCTGTTCTGTTGTAGATGTGGGTGGCGGTGAGCGGGAGCTCTGAACCTCCTGCACCTTGACACTTACACAAAACGCACACACCCGTCATAATAACAATAAACAACAAGCAATATCAACAATAACATCACAACTGCAACAGTAATGTATAACAGTAATTAGCAACAAAACAAGCCACAGGCCATACGCACTTTGATTGACCCCGCACTATTTCCCGATCGCGACGAAAGCGCGATCGCAACAACTGTGTGACCACTATACCGCCACCACTAGAAAGTCCTAGCATGCATATACTACTTTTCCTACTTTTCTTCTTTCTTTTTCCTTCTTCTTCTTCTTCTTCTTCTTCTTCTTCTTCTTCTTCTTCTTCGTCTGCTTCCTCCGCTATTTCGTTCTCTTCTACTATATCTGCGACTTTTACTATCCCTCACTCGACTACGACCTCTTCATCGTCGGCTATTTCTTTGTACTAACACACGGCGCGCACGGCGTCCCACGCTTTAACGAGGCGACGGGAAATGATTGATAGATAGGAAGGAAATTTAGAGAATGTGAGTGGGAAGGAAGCGAGGGTTTTTTTTCCCTTTGGAAGTGTACTTTCCTCATCTTCCGATTTCGACTATCTCTGTTCCAGGAGCATACACTCTGTTCCCTACAAGGGCTCCAACGGCTACTCAAATGGCTATTCGAATGGCTACTCTAGGTACTAGAAGCCATCCGGCCAACTATTATCCTAAACTCCCGTTTAGACACGCGTTTCTCTTTCTCTATCGAATGCTCTAGCTACCGATCAGTTCTCCCCGATGTCTCCCTCCTCTAATTAGAGCGATCCTCTGCGTCGATTCGACGACATGTCAAGCTCGCGAGAGATGTCGTCGCGTTTTCGTACGGCAAGGGAACCGCGAGGCTCCATCACCGATTTTTATCACCGTCCTTTTGTCGCCTACTACCCTCGCATTTAGTTCGTCCGTCCTGCTTCTTTGAGAATTTTTTTTCGCTTTTGTTCACCCTCCTGTATTCCGAGCCTACACCCAGACGTCAGCCACATCGGAGGAATCTTCGATTCGACTTGACCAATACGAAGTACCAATCGCAGAGCCGAGAATGATGGGAGCGATCTGCGATCGACAACGACGCGACGGACGATTATAATTGCATCTTTTTTTGTAACTTGGCTGATTCGAGCGGTTAATGATATTCTTGCGAATTGTAAGTACGAATTGTGTAGAGCGATTGACGTTCGAATCTACGGAATTTTCAGATGTGATTGGATAGATTATATCAGATGTCACATGCATAATTCGAAAATTCTAACATCTGATTGATTTTGTACAAAAATCAGCGTTTTGCGAAAGAACGTGAGAAAGGAAAGTGTGACTATCTGTAGAATAAAAATGTAATTTATTTACAAACGAAAAAAATTATCTAAAATCTTGTTCCATCTGCGTGCTCCGTTTTAAATACCATTCACCATTTTCAATTAGAGATATTTTAGTCATTTTGATAAGAATACACAATAAAATTGATGACAATGCCGAACCAATGTCGAACAAGTAGGTCTTCTTGCGATACCAGCATTTCATTCTCGATGGACAAATGAGAAAACCTCAAGAAAATGAACCAGAAAATTCGCACCGGAAGTCGATTACGCAATTACAAAGGAGCGAGCCAGGCGGTTTATCATCAGGAATCGAAGCGGGCGATCTTCCACGATCTTCCGCATTTTCATAACGGAAGCTATCACAACGCTGTTCCCCGCAGGATCCTCGGGCTAACATCCTAAATTGGACTACGTAATAACCCACTAGCTCTGTAGGAGCGCTTGGTCGGAGGACGGACGCTGTTCGCTTCTTCGCGTGCTACTGTGGACCACGCCCAGGCCCGAAGCGACGTCTTCCTGACCTACCACCTGGCAATCAGGCCACGGAGCTACTCGGCTTCCCCTTCAGAAAATCCATACAATTTCGCGATGACGAGAGCACTGCGAGTCCCATCGCCGGGGAACGCCGAGGCAAAATCGTATCTCGCGCACGTAGCATGCGAAGACATTGGGGCCGGACAACCTTGGGGGGAGGGCCACGTGGTACAAGGTAGGCACGCGGTGGTATCGTTGACGCAAATACCAGTCAGCTGAGATCGGTTTCCAGCGGGTGAACTCTTGGCGAGGTGTCTCTTCGATTCCGGTCCCAGAGACACGACCCACTCAGGTGGAATCAGAATCAACCGTTATTATTTCCGAACGTCGATCGATATTTTTCTTTCCCCTTCCTTTTTCTCTCTGTATTCGTTCCGTGTTTCTTTTCTCCTTTATTCATCCGCCCATCGTGTGCGGATCGCGCGATGGATATGAGGCGCTCGGAACGTGGACGGACGTGGAGGAAAGCGCACGTAATGGAGCAACCGGCATCACAATGCTCGAAGCTATACGGTGTAGATGATGATGATGATGATGATGATGATGATGATGATGATGATGATGATGCTGATTCCCGTTTGCTTCTCTCGGGCAAGACGCTAAATGTGAGAGAACCGAGTGGGAAAGCGAGTGTGGCGAGAGCATAAGTATAATCGTCGCGTTTGAAATCGTTCAGCTCATTGCCAGATGCAAACTGCAGAAGGAACCTTCAGTCCTTATAGGGGAGCCGATAGGAATATAACATCCAGAGATATTTCGAAGGCATAAAGCTAATTGATAATAATTTTGCTTATAGATTACACGTGATGGTAATTTCATATTAATGTTGTACGTTTTATATTTTTGTCAATGTAAATAATAAGTCAAACCACGTTTCATAGATTTTTATGTACTTCCTTCGAAGAAAATTTAAATGATATTTGAATTTGTTACACATGTTGTATGTTATATTCCTATTTTCTCTTTTAATCTATATTATACTCGATGCTATCTAGATATATATATATATATTGTGCAAAAACATATTACCGAAATTATATCATAATCAGGTTAATGAATTCTTGCTCTTCGTATTCTAACCACCTTTTCGACTTGAGTATTACTCGAGTTCATCGTGATAAATTGTAAAGAATGTATTTTTTTTTGTATTAAATTTAATATATTTTTTGCGGCATGCTTTTCAGACTGTACATTAAAAGGAGAGAAAGTGTTCCGACTTGTACGTTAATGAGGGTTAAGGAATTTGCGTGACTGGTTTTAATGTATCTTTATGACGATACACCGCTAAATATTTTTTTTTTGCTTTGAAACACGAGGGCAAACCACAAAATGTTCCTAAACGATACAATGTAATATGTGTTTTTCGCTACGGCGTCTCGAGGGTATCGAGAGTTGCCATTTAGCAAAATCGCACGAGTTGAAAATTTCATACGAAACGGAACCACGATGGCTTCGGGAACGTAACAGGTTTTTTTTTTTTCTTTCCAACTTCGTTTTGATTCCTCTTAGTGGAATGAAACCGCGGTCGTACTTTGTATATAGCTTAAACGCGTATCAATATGTCTTTAATATTATTATATTAATTATTATTATTATTATTGATTATTATTATTATTATTATTTTATGGATGTTATTGAAATAGCGCTTAGTCATTTCTGTATTGTAGCCGCCGACAGGCCTCACGAGTGTAGAGCTGCATTTCGTTGTACGGTACGATAGGAGTGATAATAATGTTATTTTATTATTATTAAAATTATTATTATATTATATTATATATATTATTACCACATGATGTATCAGTATCCATGCATGTATCGCTAGCTTTACACCACCGAGGCACACGGCCAGCCCGGTAGGAAGGTTTCACACTTCTTTGTCTCTCCAAGAGAGATGAGATAATATGCGCGTGATGATTTCCATGTATGCTTTCCGCAAATCGTATTGTATTAGTGTGTGTGTGGGAAAATTCCACTCCAACGGATTACAAATAAATTCGCCAAGTTGTAAAACGCTACTCTCGCCTTTCTTTCTTTACAAAACTCCTCTCGATGCGTTAAAATGTAAATTTGATAAATTTTTTTCGAATTTTTCCTATACATCTGTCCTGTACATCTGTTCGTCAATTATCACAGAAACAGTTTCTCTGAAAATCATTTAAATTGTTTTTCGCAGTAACGTTTACAGTTGGATTATATTTGCGATAGATTTTCTTCAATTATTCTCTCAAGGCTTTGCAATATTTTTTTTTTCTCTTTGAATATATACTCGGTGCAATGAGAATCGTAATATAGGACAGTTATTTTACAAATTGCGACTGACTTACAATTAATCTGCATCTGATTGAGGCGAGTTGCGAGATGACTCAATCGTAGAAATTAATCGGGAATAATTCATTCCTGAAGACCATTCGGAAATGGTCGTCACGCAAATCACAGCCGATTAAGCGACGGCCAGCAGCTAGGCGAAGAAGAAGATGGAGAAGAGTAGCAGTCCCTGATCAAGACAGATCTCCCGCAGGCGTGAAATAGTAGGCTGTATGAAACCATCTTTCTTGTCACAATAAGTCAACTAACATTTGTTGGTATATCTTATTTCAATTGATGTAAAATCATAACAAGTGTATTAGAAGAGGGAAACGTAAAAGGATAAATATATTAATAAATATATTAATTAAAGAATATATTTTCTTTCAATACAATTTAGTAACATAACTTTTCTCAATTTTTCATATCAATCACCATTAAACGTAACGCTTTGTCATTTAGTCAACGATGTTAAACAAACTATTATTTGGTGTATTTTGACGTCTCAGACAATTCTCGCATCGTGCACTTTTGCATTGTGCAACAAGTCTAAAGAGTTCGAAGTTGTATTCCATGAGCGAATAAGATTGCACACGGTGCAATGCCTGTTCACTTTACGTTGTGGCTGGAAGCTGCTCTCACCTCCTGGGGCAAAAGTCGTGAGCTGAATGTCATGGTGATTGAATACAACCCACTGATGCGCTTCCCGAGATGTACAGACTACGCGCTATTGGTTTTCCGTAAAGCCTTCTCAATGTTCCATAATTTTCATTTAATCGCTTTAACCATCAATATTATAACAGTTTGTTAATAAAGAGATAAATACTTGTTGATAAAATTTATAGTACCAAGTATACTCTCTTAACTATCACACCTTATTTTTACAAATAACTTTAATTAACAGTAAACAAAAAAACGTTTATAAACGGTTAAAGAACAAAATTTATAAATTTTTACTTAAAGGAAAGAAATATATTTCACAAAAATCAATGCCACCTGCAAACTGAAACCTAATGTGCGGGCAATGTCTCTTCCGCAATGTTAAACGTCGCATAAAATTTCTTCACTTCGAGACGTTGAGTCTTCGTGTAGATCCCTCAATAACATTTCAAGAAATTCATTCGCATCCGTGCCGTCGATCGTCGTTTATTACTACCTCTGCGGGAACGCTCAGCCGGGTATTGCAACTGATAAAGCCGCTTAGCGTACGAACTCGCGTTTCCACGCGCTTAGTTATGGGCGTGTGCGCTAGTGTTAAGCTAGCGGGCAGAAGCTTCCCATGAAACTCTCACCTCCGCGGGCGGAAAGTGAACTTCGCGGCCGACGACGTTCAGCAGAATCGTGCAACCAAGAACGCCGCCGCCGTGGCCGCGATCCTTTTTCGGGTGAAAGGTTGGCGAAAAACGCCCGACGGCAGCTACCGCGGTAGCTCCAATGCCACGGTTCGCTTTCACTGCGGAAGAGATGAAATTTTTCTTCGAGACACATGGGAATGAAAGAATCATCACTAACATTACGTTGAGGCATTGTGTAAACCTGAGACACGGCTCTTGTATAGAATTTCAGTATATATTTATTTTATTTTATTTTTTTTCAGTATATATATATATATTTTTACGTGATCTCGGTTTATTTAGTGTATTTTTCAAAAGTTTTGAGAAAAATATTGTTTTACTATTTGAAAGCGATAGCAACGTGACAGGATCAGGGCCACAAACGGAATGTAAAGAAAGAAGAAAAGAATGTGGAAAGTACCGTGATGTGACTCGTTATTGCGCAATTGCGTATTACTGCGTAATGATAATTATACAGGAAGAGACAATATCAGTGTTTTATTATATATATATATATATATAGATTTCTCCACTTCTCTCAAGGACTTCATTGTTACGTTCAATCGTTGGCGAAACCGTGAGTCTAGATCCGAGCCTCTTTTCGCGAAAGGATCAACGGCGATCAATAAAGCAAGCTTGGCGCGTAGTTAATCGATGAAAGCAATGAGACGAGGTCATAGATGAATATAGATACACGTAATGACGTTTACGTTATAAAATATTATTAAGCATATGAAATCGAATTGAGAAAAGGCGATACGCGAGAAGATAATCAAAGACGGTTACGGTGTGAAAGCGAGTGCGAGTATTGTGTATAGTAGCAAAAGGTGAGGTGCCTAAAGGTTAAGAAGGTTACTATCGCTAAATCATCATCTTAAAGTGGATAAAGAGCGGTAGATAAGATTTAAGTGGCATTGTGCGTAAAACCAAATGCGCATTATAAATTATAATAGAGATGCGAAAACAATCCGCGAAATAGAAGAATATAAATAAAGAAATATAATTAATTTAATTGCTTTTTATTCTAAAAACTAAGCATACATAAAACATACGATGATAAATTGTCCATTGTGTTTCTTAAGGCAAATGGCTTGCTCATTTTACAAGCATAATGCCAAAGTTTAGAAATGCTTTAAACTTCAAGATGCCTGTGTTACATAAGACACATACGCACAAAGATATGGCTATTGAAAAATAGATCAAGTATTCTTACTTTGATAATAACGTAGATCTAAAGAAACATAAATTTTTATGGAATAAACTGTAAGAAATCCAACTATAATTCCACAGAATAAAAGCAAATACACACACACACACACACGCGCGCGCGCGCGCGCGCGCGCACACACACAAATATGCCGAACAAAAGAAGCCGACAGGTGAGATAAAAAAAAAAAAGGAGGGAAAAGGCGGGTGCGCAAGACGTAAGCGCGCAGGGATATCGGTGCAAGTAGTATCGGAGCACCTAAAGGTTACTACCGCATCATCGCCACGTCAAACTACTAGCTAGATTAGTCTCCCTTGGGCGAGCACGAGGTGTGTTTTGCTCGACTGGGACTCCGTCTCTGTCAGACTCGCTCTCGTACACGTTTCGTCGACGTGGTAAGCGTCCACATTGCTAGGTGATAGGTTGGTAGGTAGGTAGGTCGGTTGGTCGCTCAGTAGGTATATTAAACGTAATCCAGTCCTCCGTGCCCTCCTCCTCGCGCTCGATCCGTACTCTTTCTTCTCTCTCTTCTCCTTCCCTTTCTCCTCTCCTCTCTCTCTCTCTCTCTCTCTCTCTCTCTCTCTGTGCTGTACTCTTTGCTGGCGCGGCTTCTAAGATCTGTGGGAGCGCCTTTCACCTAATTGTTGGCACAATATGTGAAGACCAAGCCACTACGGTTCCCATCGACTCCTGGAGATGATACTCCGACTCGTGGCGCCTAGACACTATCCGAACTCGAGAGGTCGACCGGGATCGTCTGCGACCGGAGGGGATTGGGCGATGCTTACAAGTAAGTAGGTAGGATCATAGCGCGTAAGAGGTCACCTCGAAGAACACTCGAAGCTTACGGTCTTGTCATCTTAGTTTTGTCCATTAACGTAAATGTTAAATTGCATTTCTTGTCACAATTATATTTATTATGTACTATATATTTTATATGATTTAGTTTTCCTAAGACGTGCAACGAGAAAAGAGAGAGGTGGCACTCTTTGAAGAATTAAAATAAATAAGTGGTGAATCAAGAATACATTTTACGCTGAATTGTGCTGAATTGTGAAATCTTGATTAATCTAATTAAGCTTGATTTATTGAAAAACACGGAGCTTTATCGTTTTGCAGTTGAATGAATGTTCAATCCGAGAATCTCATATCAGAGAAAATATAGTACTTGTTAAAATTCACAATTAAACTAATTATCCGAAGACAATCGCCTATCAAATTACATTAATAAATCAATAATAAGCACCAGCAATATATCGATAAGGTTATTATTATACAAAATAGCCATTGACCCCGATTCCTCGCGCGGTCATCCGCTAAGAATTTGTTCTCCAGGTCAGATCCCGAAAACAAACAACACGGACAAAAATAGCGATCTTCTCGCGCCCGTGGTAACCAAGTCAAACGATTTCGAGCGCGAAAACGATACTCCTCCACTCCGACGCTGCCCACGTCGGAGGAAGAGCCGCGACGAAGCCGGCGGCAGCGGCCGCGTCCGCCATGAAGACGACGAGTCTTCCGTTGTCCCCCTTCGGCGATTCGCTACGATCTATAAATTACGAGACAAGAACCATCTTTCTCTCTTTTTCTCTTATTTTCTCTCTCTCTCTC